GTGGTTTATGAAAGGAGCGAAATGCCCCCTTTGAAGGCCTCACGACTTGACATTCTATAGTATAATATAGATTAAAAATGTCTGTTCACGAAAGGGCAAAATTTATAGGATTAGCCCCCGCCCTTATAATATAACACACAACATACTTTAAACACAGATTTAATGACTATGTGTTTAAAGTATGTTGTGGGTCTCTATCAACAACTCGGTCCCCCTGCATAAGGCTGGAGCACGTACCCCGAAGCACGTGAGTGACACAGCCAGAAGGACCAAGAGCTCGAACTCCGCTACCAGTACCAGCAACTTAGTCGGCAGCGGTTACTTCACGACCCAGAAGACCACGGCCAACGGATCAACCACCAGCAGTACCGTGATTCAAGATATGGAAACAGCGGCAGCAGCCACCGCCAGTAGATCAAGCACACACCTTTCCAAGTACGTTTCTGTTGTTATGTTGATTTATTTAACTCTGCGCTTGTTGGTTTGTATCTAACGTTAACGTTAATGCAGCTTCAATGCAGGAACGGTGTTGCTGTTGAAGAAACTTTTCCTTAATCGTGGCCAGAGCAAAATGTACCACAGTTTATCCGGTAAAACAGCGTTCCTGCTCGGGTCTGTTCCTCTCTTTGGCGTCGTAGCATACCAATCAACCCTAGTCAAGAAGACTATTGTTCGGAGCTGGCATTGGCGGCACTATATATTCAGCAACGACAGTGATGACGACGAGTTCCGAAAGACACTACGACTTCCACGGCCAGCATTTTGGAAGCTGCTGGACATTATTGAGCTAGATACCACCCGCAAGCGGACTAATTGGTGCGTACCGCTATCGCCAGCGATTCGGCTGTGTGTTTATCTATACTATGCTGGACATGGTTGCTCGCTTCAGCAATTAAGCGCACAGTTCGGCATCGGGCGCAGTACTGCTTCTGGAATTATTAAGACTGTGAGTGAATCGATTGTTTCTCGGATGGAGAATTGGATTTCGTTTCCTGAAACTCGTGCCGAGCTACTCGAGTTATTAAGACAATTTGAGCAGAACCACCACCTTCCAGGATGTGTTGCAGCAATCGATGGTTTTGCCACATTCCCAACATTCAGCCTGCAGTCCCAAAGAGCAACAAGTTTTACAACCGCAAAGATTTTTATTCTTTGAAAATAAGTGCGGCTGTCGATCATAAGCGCCGGTTTCTCGACGTGAACGTTCACTGGCCAGGTTCTGTGGGGGATAGTCGCGTCTTCAACAACACTGATCTTGGCAGACGGCATGAATACATCCTAAAAGAAGAAAGTGGTGAACAAGGGTCCGGTGCAATGCACGTGGGTTGGTATTCGTGTGAACGCATACCTTTTTATCTTTTAGTAGATAGCGCGTACGCAAATTCCGGTTTCGTCGATACTACCTACGAAATTGCCGAAGCCCAAGCAGATGTAGTTGTTGCGCGACTAAATCAGAAGCTGGCCGGAATGCGATAGATTGTGGAATGCGCTTTTGGAATTCTCCATGGACGATGGAGACTATTGCAGCATCCAATAGAGATGGTTAGAACAAATCTCAAAGCTGTTTCAACCGTTGTGTGGTCTCTGTGTATTTTGCACAACTTTTTGATTGAATAGGGCGATGATGTGTGGGATGGAGAAGAAGAGCGAAGACGCAAAGCATTTTACGACTCAAATTATTTGTCTATTAACAGTGACAAAGAATCCACACAAGATACGGCAACGTAATGTACACGAGGAAAACTGCTACGGTAGATGCGGTTTTTTTTTATTCGGTTAGAAGTGCACACTGAGAATTTCAGACTCTTTTTTTAGTAACTACTCCTTACCGAAAAGTGTTCGAAGAAGTTCTCTGTTTCTCTCATTGTCTTCTTTTTGGTGCTGGATAAAACGTTCTCGATCTTCAGCTGCAATTGCACGCATGTTATTCACCGCTCCATCCATGATAGCCTGCACAGCTTCTGCTAGGTCCTCCGTCTTTCTCTTCTTCTCGGCAGATCCGCTCACAGAGCTTGTATTTTCACTCGAACGCTTACTGGGCCCCAATGAAACACCGCCACTGATAGCATTAATCGAGGGGTCGTCTTCAAATACGTCAGAGAGAAGTGTGTAAGAGGCCTCGCTAAGTGCAACTCGTTTCAACTTTTTGCGAACAGCAGCGCGTTCTTCTTGGCTCAGTTGAAACCACGCAGGGCGGCCTGTGCTACCCACCAACGACCCATTGTTGTGGTCTGAGATGAACGAAAGCGACTGTTTAAGCGAGTCCACTTTGTCTTCAGTCGACCGTAGCGATCGCGGACGGAACGCGCTATCACAAAACATCAAGCCCACCTTCTGGTCCTTCAGTAGGACAAGCAGTTTTGAATTCGTCTGCAGACAACGTCACCGAGCCAGTCTCTACTGCTTTCCGGTTAGCCAGTCTACCTAAATACTCGTTGTAAATCGCCTGATTAAGCATCTTAGCCGTTGAGCCTACAGGCATAGAGCGTAAGGGAGTCGACTTTCAGGCGGAGATAAGCACGTGGACTTCATCTTCTCCCCATGCCTTTCCTCAAGCTGCTGTTTTCTTCTTCTCAGTATTTTTCTTCGTACCGCCTTCTTCCGCCATCGCCGAAACACCGTTTGTGAAGAGGCTCAAGTAAACCTGCTAAAGTAGATTTATACCCGTCTAATTCGATATTTCTCCATTTGTGAAGTTTAACTTGCTAAATAGATATATACCTTTCTAATTTGATATGTCTATTACGGAAGGCAGTATGAACGGGTTTCCAGCTTCAGAGCACAAAAACGCGATAACCAACCCTAAAGCTGCGGCATTTCTTTATGCCGGAAACCCTTTGTGTGAACCCCACCATTGTCGCGTCTCCTTCGACTCAGAAGGAAAGAGGCAAGTTTCCCTTGACGACCCATTTCAAACAGGCTTAGCGGTTCGCTGCCAATTCTCTTATCCTGGAGACAAGCATCCCTGTAGCATCCGTGGTTGCATCGTACATGTCGCTCGTTAAGTTGGGGTGAGCCGTGCGGTTGTACGTCACCAACTTGGTGAAGCTGTTCCCGAGAGCGTGCTTGCGGCATTTTCCGCACGCCTTGCACACCTGATACTCCGTCAAGTCGCCGTCTTCGTTAAGACAGCTATCTGTTTAGGTGTGAATGCCGGACGGGGTGTGTTACCGGCAACGAGACTGGGGTAGATGGGTGTGATAGGGCCTTGAGGGATGGTGTGGGCAGGAATGCACAATTGAATATGACTCTCGCGGTTGTACTAGGACGCCTTAAGCGACCACAGCCAACTATTTTTGGCTGGCGGAGGGCAGCTTGAAAAATGTTAAAAAATGTGAAATACATTATGGGTAGCAAAATAATTATTATATCGGTCAATTAATGGTGCTTTTTTAATATACTTATTATTCGGATAACCTGGCTATAGACAAATGCCTCAGCAAGTGTTTGAATAAGACCAATAGTGGAATATTGTACTCCTTCTTGAGAGTCCGCTCTTCCGCGTGGGGCAGGTTATATGAGAGTGCAGTCGCTAAGCTTCCTGCTCCAAAGCTGAGAAATACAGTATACGAAGGATAACAAACTACTACAATGCTTCAAGTCCCTCCTGACTTCGATTAGAAGACTCCAGCCGCATTCAACCGCAGATGTTCGTTGAACTGGCAAAATAAGTGGAGCTTCTGACATTGTCAAGGACGTAGGTCGGGTACCTGGTACTTAGGCTACTCACAGCATCGCTAAGGAATGTCTGTGGTACAACTAGCCGAGGACTAGCACTGAAAATGTAATGGATGACCCTATCGAATAAACGATATCATGGTATTTAGCCCAAAACCGAACAACCGATTAAAACCATATAAATTACTTGCACTTGGATGCTGAACGAAGATGGGACCGTCGCCGACAAGGTCAACATTCACGTGGGCGATTCAAAAGTAATACAGGTATAAAGGATTAGAGATGTTTTCATAATCCTCAATTGTACGGTTTTATTCACTGAAGATAGCAATCCAATTAATGTAAAGAGGGAACCCTTATAGGCTCATATATGAAAAACTATGCGAGGAAAATCGGATCACTGATAGACTCTGAAATAAAGTTCAGAGAATAATTTAATATGTCCATGAAACGCATTTTAATTCCCACCAAAACCCCTTCTGGTGTTAATTGACTTTCAGAAACATGCACGTGGCTCCACATATTAATGGGCTACACTTGAATTTTGTATGGATATGAATGTTGTGCGCCACAAAAACCAGAAAACAATTCGGTGACTACGAAAGCGTTTTTTCTGATGGAATTGTCATGAGTCATTCCTGATCCAAACAAATTATGATGGAAATATTATGATCCACTTCTTATGCAAACAATACTTTTCAAATCTGCGGTTCTCATTTCAAAAAATATTTGCGGGAGGAAAGATGGTCAAGCTCTCCTGCGCGATTGACTAGAAACGGGCTCTCTGTGCGAGTGGAGGAGAGCGCCTCGGTGAATAGCTTGAAGAAGGCAATCCAAGCGGAGAAGCTGACGATCACATGTGATGCCAACGAGATGCAGCTCTTCCTGGCCAAGAAGGGTGGCGCGTGGCTGACGGAGGCATACGTGAATGATGGTGTGAGCGACACTAATGATCTGAAGCCATCACAACATCGTCACGATTGGAGACGCTGAATGTGTGCTCGAGCTGAAACATTACCAAAAACAAGGGAGCAGATTCAGGACAATTGTAATGCGTTCTGCTAGAAGATCCTGGACAAAACCGACAGTATACCTGAACTTCGCTGGATACTCCGTTCATTTGGGTAGGAGGTCATCGAGCATGCGGAAGCCTCAGTTGGTGTTTGCTTTGAGTGGATGCCGACCGTGGTTCTACTGGCCTACTATTTTTATAGGAGATGATTATCAGCGCTTGTATCAATACTTTTACATCGATTTCAAAGAAGTTCGACGAAGGATGTACTGGCAGGCAGACCCAAAAGTTACATTCTGAACTACAGAGCGACGGGTTACACTTAGGATAATCTATGGACCTACAGATTCTTTCTCGCCTTGCTGGAGTATTAATATAGTTTGTAAACTACCGATACGCAGTAATGATGTATAATGAAAAGAAGCTGTCGATGCAAGCGTACTGGTTGGGGCATGACCGCAACTGGGATAAGAACTTTGGACATGATACAGAGTATTCTGGACGGTTCGAGTCTGTTTGGAAGGAGAAGTGAAGAAACTCCCTCATCCGTTTAAGATGCTTGAATTGGCTCACCACAGCGAACTTCAGGTGCCGTTGTTCCTATTCGGTTTTTAGTTGCTACTCTTTGTGCTGTTTGGCAACGCGCTTCCAAGCATTGTATGCTGAATCATTCGCTTCGAGCTTTCTCCTTTCTAGTTGTTGACGTTCTAGGTACAGTATCTCGAAAAGCTCTTTTAGTTGCAGCTTCTGCGTCTGCCTCTCGTTCTTGAGTTTTGTGCGATACATGTTTCGGCGTTCTGCACACTTATCAGCCTCTCTTTTGCGCCGCTGCTCAAATAATTCCAGAGGTAGCTGGTTGCTCTCAGGCAAGAATTCCAGAAGCACAGTCATCTCTTGGCTGCTCTGTGACGGTATAGGACGTGAGCACTCGAAAGCAAGTGCTCTGGTTCTAGCCTTGGGCCCCACGTAAGGGCTGACGTGACGTACGTTCTCCATTGCTGTTTTTCACAATGACTAGTGCTGCGTTACAGTTCTCAAAGCTCGATAAGAACGCTCACCAGCTGAAAACATTAATTTTACAATTAATAAGTAGCGAATCGACCCGATTTACCCTGTGTCAGTTGTTGAGACATTGTATTACATGAACTCAGTTGAGGTACTTCATGTAGCACTTATAATTAAGTCTACAACACTCATGAAATCGGCCTATAAAAAACACCCAGGAGATTACCGTATCGATCACCCGATGTTTTGTCTGTCAACACCGTACGGAAGTATCGTAAGACTTTAAAAGCGGTCTACAGCACTCAAAGGCGACGTAATTTATTAAATCTGAAGATCGACAAGAGTGCTCAAAGAAACCAGTGAAAGCATGGAACTATTTCGTATATAGCGTGCGTGGTAAAAGTGTTTTGGGGCCCTGTTAAGAATGGCAACGCCAACACTGTGACTATCGTCCGTGATCACTACCGGTAGATGAATTCCATCCATATCGCACTGGTTTTTGGGACGATCCCAAGTGAAAAATACATAAACTTGTAACAATTAGCCAAAGAGTGTTTGCGCCACTTTCTCACAGTCGAACTTATTGTTCAGTGTTAACAAATAAAAAAAAAAGCATGTAACTATGAAATCAACTTTCTTGTACCAGTTGTTGCGGTTACTTAATATCTACGGCATTTGGTCTGCTCGCATGAACTTCGTTCATAGAGCTGGAACGAATGCAGTGGATCTTGGCTCGGGTCAAGCAACGCTGGGTGATAGCTTCCTGCATGCACTACGTATCTGTCAGTGGTGTTTGGCCGAGAATTATCTACGCCTATCTGCATTAGCGCATTTGCACCACTGGTAATAATGGAGTCGAGTATATCTACGAGTTGAATCGCTTGTAAACGCGGAACTTCGGGACGATAAAATAAAGTAGGGACTGTAGCGTGGTCGGATACTGCAGCAAGAACGACCGATGAAGACGTTGCTGGCATAATAGACGCGTCAAGAGCACAGCATTCTGTCTAGAAATCTGCGTCATGAATTCTAGAATGCTGAACAGGCGATCCAACTGAAGTGGTGATATTTGCTTCTGTGTCTTCGACTCGGGTGCTTCTCGTAGAGCCCTTTCTTGTCCTTTTGGATCGCTTTTTCTTTGAAGGTTTAGCACGTGATTTGAAGCGCCGTTCACGAGTTTTAACACCAGGATAGGAAGTACCAACAAGTTGCGTAGCTTCGATAAATTGCAGACACATGTTATATTTCTGGTGGAGTCTGCATTGACACGACTTAGTAGTTCCATCAACAAGCCAGCCGTCCCTTGGCATCCCATCCCACAGCATCCGCCAAGTGTGAGTCGATTTTATCGGCATGATGATATCATCCGCGTGCATCTCGTTGTTTCCTTTTTTTGTTCTTTGACTTTCTCGACGGTGTAGCATAACTGCCGTCACAGGATTCAGTTGCTATCAGGGTGGCCTCTTTTGGTTCACAACTACTGGCCGCAACTGAAGATTACCCACTTGGGGGAGCTCCCGTGCAGTGAGCCCTTTAACTTGGTTCGATTGTACAGTGCCTTTATCCGCTTGGATACTTCGGTGATCATAGAGAACGTGGCTCTCTTGCCCAATAACCCGATATGCGATAGGCCAACAAGCCTGATCATTTCAATAGGGGTCGCGCGAGATGAACTATTCACAAGCTTTACCATTTTGGGATACTGCTCCACCGGATCATTGGTAGTTGCATAATCTGGTGGGATATGGAAAATTCGGCATTTAGCATACAGGACACTATCAATCCACTGGCGGGTCATTTTTTTCCGCAACAGATCTAAATTTTGTGATTATCTCCTATTTGAGTCGGTAGATTATCTACTGGGTCGTATGGGTCTGCTCGGCTTACGGGTCGTGTATTGTAACGGGTCGTCATTTTAATAGATCGTAATCGCGGGTAGGGCTCAACAACAAAAAAGAGTACCGTGCGGTATCATATCTTTTTGGTGGATTATCATCGCTTTAAAATTTCTTATTATCACTTTTGGATGTGTTATCATCGTATTTGGATACATTATCATCATTCCTAGGTACTTGTCATCGATTTTGTACTGAATATCGACTTCGGATGGATTATCATCCTTTTTAGATTGCCTATTGACTTCAAGTACAAGGCATAAGGCATACTCAAACCACGTGTTAAACTTAGCTACCACTCACTACAAGTACCGATATTGCCATCGAATCTGACCACCTGTTATCTGCAGTTTCGATGCTTATACCACGGTATCTTATCTGCTGAAGCTAGCTCGCCGCGTAGGAAGACCCGCCTTCACTATTCATCTTGCATCCTGTCACTGTGGAGCCACCATGGAAAGACATAGTAAAGAGGGTACATATTCCCGAAGTCTTCAGAGGCAAACGAAGAAGTCGTCGAAGAAGAGAGATCCGAAAACCAAGATTTTACATGGGATTCGAGTACACGAGGGCGTGGAGTTTGTGCCTTAAGATTGTATTTCGGTGCAGTGTATGTCGTAGCACCGGGTGCAAATCTCGACTGGCAATTCGACCAACCAGTGGATACGAGTTGGTGAACATGCAGACCTGCGTGCAGCCTACCTCCAGAACAGGCGCAGCTATCGTCGACTGTACGACTGCTATGAAGCTTCGCGTTGATACAGTAGTTTATCTGGTCTGGATTTGACGAAACCAGTGCACGAGGTGTGACAGGAAGTGAGCGCCGAGTTTTACCTGGATGACGACATGATTTGGAGAGGCTTATCGGAAGAGCTGGTCAAACGTCGAGTCTGCCGTGTCCGGCAAAAAGCACTATGAAGCTTACTTACTTGGACGCATCGAAGTACCTCCACTATCAATGGTAGAGGGATAGACGCTGAGTTTGTTCTAGTTCCACCTGTCAAGACCGAAGGCGAACCCCACCACCAAGCCAGACCGGATCATTGGTTGGGCACACCCAGAACTTCGACAGTTACTGATGTACAACGGTGTTTCGCTCTTCTTTGATTGTACATTCCGATGTGTACCCACGGGATTCAAACAGTACATGCTTACGATGGTGTACGACCAAGCTAGCGAGTTATTTGTTCCAGTGCACTTCGTTCTTTGCAGCTCCAAGGTTGAAGCCATGTACTTCGACATTCTAGAGCTGATTTATAGGGACACCTCAGAGAAGCTAGAGCCATGTGACGTCGTCTGCGCCTTCGAGATGCTAAGGATACAGGCCATCGAGAAGCAGTTCCCGATCGCTGAAGTGATCGGCTGCCTGTTTCATTTCAAACAGGCAGAGCGACGACAAATGAAAACAACGTACAGTATTCCTGATGCGGAGGATCGCGTTGCAGTGAAAAAAGGCGTGCTTGACTTGCTCACAGTGATTGAGCCAAATTTGGTTCCTCGACATGGCATCCGGTGGGTTAATCGCACTATTCGAGCCAAGTGTGCTACAGCCGGGTTCGCTTACACCCGTATCAAGTGGAAGTAGTTCTAGGATACTTTCGTGCTACTTGGCTGGAGCGGTACAACATTGAATCGTGGAATGTTCATGGTTTAGACAACGGTCTTGTCGCTAGAACAAACAATCCTCTCGATCGATTTAATAGGGAGCTAAACAGATCGTTCCCGATGCCTCATCTCAATATTGCCACATTTGTCAACGTGATCTGGACAATATCTCAAGATTACGTTACCAAGTTGACCAACGTGGCGCAAGGGCGACGAAGCAGAGGCAACAAGACCAATGTAAACAAAAAGAAAGAGCGACGACGAGCCAACACAAGCGGTGCCGACGGGGCAAGCGTCGAGACGATTGATATTCCCAATCCAGTGGTTTGTACGGACGAAGACTTAGCCTCTGATTCTGATAGTGAAGATGAGATGCAAGGCAATGATGTTGATTCAGTGGTAGAGAGTGAGGTCGCCGATGTAGCTGACAGTGACGATGATGCGCTTCCGGACTTCTCGTTCGAGCCCAGTGAGTATTGCGATGACGATGAGTCGACTGCCAACGGAGACGGTAAGAGTATGCAAGCAACTATTGTTTAGAGGCCTTTAGTGCACGTGCGGACGGATAACCAGAAGTTGTTATCTCATCAGCAACAACTTTTTGGCTGGGACTAGATGTAGTGAGCAATTTGGACGCTACGAACTGGGGACTCCCTCATGCTTCAATACATGTACCCTTTTTAATACTACGTGTCTGTATCAAAATTCGGTGATATTCACTATAACATCAATGATAATATATCTAAAACCGCTGATAAACGACTCCAACATGATGATAAAACATCCAAAAGTGATAATGAAACTTTCAAAAGTGGTAACAAGTCTACCTCAAAGTTAAGATTGCAGGACTACTACTGTACTGGCAAACCGATTTTTTCTCGCTACTAACAGCACCTAGCTTTTAGTGAGTTGCCATGATGCCGATTTTTTTTCTTCTTTTTTAAGAAGGGCTCTAATCGCTCGATTGCCATTCATCCCATTAATTTATAAAGCAGCGACGATAATATATGTTTCACCAATTCTATTTCCATTTGCGTAGATGTTAGTAGCTGTGGGTAGCAAGGCAGGCCACCCTCCCCGAGACACTAAAACCAAGTATGAATCTGATGCACGATTCTCCTAGTTTTCTGTCAAGTCTAGTTCAGGGTTTTCGTCTTCAGGTCTACCTCAGGTGCCGCGCGGACGTACTCGTAGTCAAACGCCTGCTTTGTCTGCTTCGCGCACTTCCCTGTCGTAGGCTTGCCGCTGAAGCGGTCTGCCATCCAGTTCAACCAGTCCGGCGCCGCCGCTGTGAGCACACCGGAGTGGTCCTGCTTCGGGTCAAATGTCAAGTACACCTCGCTGCCATCGCTGCATGCGCTCTCGTATGCCTGCTCCGTTGTCTCCGCCAAGATGGCTGTATCGTTGACACCCTGCACAACCAAGATGGGCCGGTGGGCAGCGACTCCATTCGCTGGAGCCGTTGTGTTCTGGAACTGTTCTGCAATATGCAAATCCTCAGCCGTCGGTCCCGTTGTGGACATGGATGTCAGATTCCTCACGTCCAGGTCAAGAGTGAGACCAAGCATTCCGCTGGCGCATAGCTGCGCCTTTTCAGCAAGACCCATGCGTGCCTTCATCACGTCACCCAGGAAGGATGACGTGTAGGCTGGGAACACTCGCTTGATGGCGAGGTCAATCACAGGTAGCAGACTTGCACCGGACGACTCATGGATGTTCGAGCTGGAGGACAAAAGTTGAGACGCCATCAGCTTAACCATGTCCCAGATTTTGGTGGCCGGGGCGAGTGCGACGGTGCCTAGGTAGTACTTTGCTTCGTCGATGCACTGCACTAGTTGGGATTGTTGCAGGTGCTGCGCTTGGTCAGATGCCTGGTCTTCGTTCGTACAGTGAGTACCGGCAATGCTCTCGATGTCCTCGGCCAACTTCCACACGGCACCACCGCCCTGCGAGTGGCCAACAGACATCCAATTGGCCGTCAATACCGAGCCGAACGCGTGGCGGGCTGCCGTAACGGAATGGTAGAGGTCCTTGGCATGTGCTGGAAACGCACAGTATTTGTGGTCAGTGCCATACGTGCCGAGCCCAGCGTAGTCAGTACCCACAAGGGCATAGCCACGCTCGCTCAGTAGGCTCCAGCTACTATAGTCGAAGAGGTTCGGTCCGTTCGAGATGGCACAGCCTCGGAACTCTCCGATAGTGCCGTGAGCAAAGGCGACCAAGGGGAACTCGCCGCTCTCCGGCAGCGAGAACGGTAACGCGATGTAGCCAGAGACTGGAACGTACGTCCCGTTGAGGTCCTCGGAAACATACTGGATACGGTAGACAGACACGCCAGAGATGGTAGTGAGAATGTCGGGGTTCACGGGCTTCAGCTTGAGCAAGTCTCCCGGCTTGGAAGTTGAGAAGTTGTCGGCGACTGCATAGAAGTCCCAGTCGAAGTCGGAGCCCACGACGGCAAGGTCAGCAGCATTGGTGGTTTGCAGGTTGTTGTAACAAGTCTCTCCGCACTGGAACGATTGAGCAGTGGCGAGTGACACGTCCAGATTGGAAGCCCGAGTGGTTGACGCAGTGGGTAGTGCAGCGAGCAGGAAAGCAGTGACAGCACGAAACATCATGCAGAACCGCGTGGAAAGCACTGAATTGCTGACTTTGGATGGAGGTGGAATATTTGAATCTGACGAGAGCAGTTCCGATCGATCGAAGAGCCATCAACAACAGATGTACAAAGAACAATATTCGTACTACATGTATCCTGGATGCTGTAGTGTATACTTGGTGGTCCGGTGTCTGTGCTGCATACGTTGTCTGCTCGATGACGATACGTTCTAATAACACAGCTGGTTGTCCACACCAGCGTGCGTAATCACCCACAGATGATCCCTTCGTCTATCCAACCGCATCATGATGGTAAACATGATGATATTACCGTAAGATAAATGCTTAAAGGAAAATCAGTAGTTCGGCAACTTTGGCTTTTTTTCTGTTTGGAAGATTTTTTTCTTAAGCGTATCCAACAGCTACGAAACAAATCTATATATAGACAAGATGAAAGAGAGACTATCGATCCTTCCTGGTGGAAAGTACTACGTAGATCATATTCGAGTAATTCGGTGGATGGAAGTAGCTGTGTCAGTTATTAACGAAGACCAAAAGAAAAGTTGTACGGTGGAGTACATGTGTAACAGGATACCCAACAACTTGTATCGGTGATAATTGATGATTATTCAGAAGTGGCTAAAAAAACGGCTTGCTCAAGCAGGCCGTTCGAACCGAGCCCTCACTGGTGGGAAGGTAGTCCCGGATTACCTGCCTGAAAAACGAGCCTCCTCGAGCATCAAACCTCTCATCTCCTATTACTCCCAAATAGTATCTGGTACAACATGCTCAATAGACTTGGTCAAGAGCCGCGTACAACACATAACACTTTCTAGAGCACATCGCCTTACCTAAGGACAGCGGTTTGCGAAACGCTGCATTAGAGCCAACATTTGGAAGATTTGAGCTGAGACAAAATGTTCTATCAACGTAGTACTTCAGTTCGGCATCGAGAAAGCATGTATTCGCTCGCATCTCCCTTGATGTCTCCTTTTTTTTCTTCTCTTTTTTGACAAATGAGATTTGTTTTGCTACCAAATATTTACACGAAAATGGCAGTTCAGAAAACATTCGGGTGTTATAACGTTAAGACGACTGCAGTTCGTAATTGTGTAAGAGAATTTTTTGTGGCGTACGGGGAAATACTATTTTAGTGCTGCGTACAGTGTACGCCGTACACTAGTGGTAACGCACCTCAATACCGGTGTACCAGCCTAAAAAAAACAAAGGTTCAATGCCCTACGTCGTTTCTATTGCCACCGAATTCCAGGCCAGCAAGAAGAGGGTGCACTGCACCGTGCAGAAGCCTCTTCCCGACAGAAGGATTAGTAGCTATATCTGGGATCCTGATACCCAACGGGACTTCCTCTTCAGCAATTCGATTTCAAAGTTGAGCGCTTGTGCTGTCAGCTATTAGGGCCACCACTGCCATCATATCAAGACGAATCTCGCCATTGTCGACCCTTGTCGATAGAAATCACGTTTGGCAATATCGGGCATGGGGAACCTCGAGACGTTGCCACGATTTGCAGTTCAAATGGACCTGTATTCGCTCGTGCAGGGATTTTATCAATCACCGGTAGATACACAGTTTCAACAACTAAGTACACGGTCGTGTCGTAGTCAGAAACAACAACTGTAAGTACACTAAATGAATGTACTGTATTCATCTGGTACGCTTAAGAAAAGAAATTAGTGCGGTATTGCCGTTGAAAGCCGGGTGTTCGATTTTTTTTTTTTTTTT